GTGCACACGTGAGACTGTTACTGAAAACTGTGCTTTATGCTGGACAGTATTTATTTATCGCGAGTTGTTCAAATCGCGGTAATCTAATACGGTTTTAATGATAATTAAAAGATGAAACGGTTAATACTAACCGTGGGGAATTTTATCATGATTTATCGTCAAACCGGTAATCGTTACATCCCTATGATGTATTGGGGCATATTTGAACATTTTCCCTTATTGTGGGGAAAATGAATCAAATAAAACAGTCAAATTCACCATACTAAAAAAATAAAAATACAAACTGAATGGACAATAATGGAGGCTCACCAGATTCACGTGGATTTTTCCAGGATCTTGGAGACTTAACAGGTTCATCTACCTGTACAATATCCTGACCATTACGAGCTTCAACTGGTTTGTACTCTCTCCTTTGTCTCTCATTGGCAAAGAAAAATTTCCTGAACCATTTCAGAAAGGTGAAATTGGGTCTAAACTTTCCTGTGAGAAGCTGCTTCACAGGGACTGGCTGAAAGAGGCATCAAAAATCACATTTAAATATCAAGAGTGTAGTTTCTGTAGCACTTGTTGGACTAAACAGAATAACATCATCCTAAGAAATATAACCAAACTTACACATATCAACTTCAACATTTATATTTTTATATGCAAGAGGATTCATGAGATTAAAAGAATAGATTCAGGTTAATCTGACCTGTTTTATGCCTGATTTTCGGAAAGCCGTCTGCAGAAGACTGTAGTTCTGTTTAAAATCAGACCTCTTTTGGGACTCAAACTTTACTTTGCTCATGTCGATGGACCCTGGGAAGAGCAAGTCCATAAGCTGGCAAAAACATGCACCTATATAAAAAAAAAAAAATTAAAAAGAAAGAATTGTGTAAATTCAGTTTAAAGCTGTTGGCAATGTGTAGATAGTAACAAAAAAAATTTAAACAGTACCTGAACGACATTGCTCCACTTGAGTAAAATTAGTCTGTAATGTTTCATTGATCCAGGACAAAACGTCATAGCGACTGCACTTGTCATCAGGGTTATTGGGGTCCAGACTAACATTCATAGCCATCTTATGCTTTCATAAGCAAAATAACAATGCATGTGAAACAGCAATTAGAAGCAATAAATCACAAACAAAGGTAATTACATTGCACATTTTGGAAAAACAACAACAACAGTAGACCAGTTACTAGGGAACTATGCACACATACATATATTTATGTGACATTATATATACTATGCTACATACTGTTTATGTTACTCTTTTAGTTTTAATTGAAGTAATTTAAGTTACTCTTAGATATGTACGAGATGTATAATGTGAAGTTAATCCCAGAAGCATATGAATTATATCATGTTGCATGTGAGATACGTTTTGAGGTTAATCTAAAAGGCATAATGTTTAATAAATATTTTGTATTCTGAAGTCTACTGAGCCTAATCTGGTTCATGTTGGACTTCCTCAAAACTAAAAAAGACTACAGCCTCTCTCTTGCGTCAGTGTGCAGATTTAAACAACTCCTCCCCAGTACACGAAAATCTCGCGGGGTAATTTTTGCCGCGAATACTGCACGCTTAAATGTAGCTTTCACTTCTACAGGTTTAACCGGTGACAACAGCATGATACACCATGGATCTCAAACAATGAGCGCACGAAATCTAATGAAAGTAACGAAGTAAACACGTATAAGAAACAACCCGGTGGCATGCATTTAGATATGTAGCAGTTGATTTATTGGTGGGGTGACATAATCGAATTGTATAGCATGCGATTATTTTATAATCTTGTCAGTGACCCTTACCGTGTTTTTGGACCTTTTCAAAACAATTGAATTAAGGCTAACGAAACTGAAATGTTATTTAATTTGCGTGATTTTAACTTCGCAAGTCCTCTAACCCAGATGTAATCGGCTAACATGCAGTACAAAACATGTTTGCTAATAATAAGTAATAAAGTAAACCCCTTTCCATTTATAAACCTTAACCGTGTTCTCATTTTATTAAGACCGGTTGCCTTTGTTAGTATGTCTTTGTGTAGCTGTAATGGTCGCTCAGATACAGCGAAACTATGGGACCGTGAAACATAAGAATGGTTTCTGTTTCAGTATAATCGTAACTCTTCACAAAATATGACAAATCGAAACGTGTTTTTAAAAACATCAAATATGTCCTACCTTATTTGTACCTTGGTCCCGATACCTCGCTACTCCCCAGTCTACAATGTAATCCCCAATCTACCCCAGTGCCTTCCTCCCCCAACATATGCATTGTGCTACAAGGATTGGCCTGTACAATCCAAAGTAGGAGGTCCTATACTGCATTAGCTAGCTAGCTAAGATTTCTTACGTACGAAATAGCGTGTTGTTTTTCGGTGACAACGGTATTTTCTCGTCAAGATACAGATGTGAAATAAGTTTGAACTGACCTACCGTGTGGCCAGTTGTTTAATTCGTAACAATTAGCGATGACTCTGATGCCAAGAACGGGAAATCGCGATTTTTTTAATGCAGTTTAAAAATATCAATTTCAGTTAAATACATTGTTTTCTGTTAAAAACACATAAACCCTACTTTTAACATTTCGATTAAATTACACGTGAAATAATTCAAATAAATAAATAAATGTAACACAAAGTTATACAAGTACTTTTTGGGTACGTTACTTTTTGAGTGTTTGGGTAGCATGTTCATTTGGACAACCTTTTTAACGCAGAACATGATTAACTTTTTACTTAATCTTATTAAATGAACTGTCAATACAAGTAATAGGGGAAGTGATGCACAGACTTATCACAAACGAAAGCCACGTGACAGACACAAATGTTGGTAAACGGTAGTTAAATAATTGAATGGATTTACATTCGTAAATTTTGGATTATTGTGTATATCAGTAGCATCAGTTATCAAACATACATTTGAGTAATTGCGTTGTTTTTTATTGTCAAACACACATAAAGCTTATGGTTAAAGTGTTTAAATAACGTCACGAATGGCTTCAATATCAAACAATGAGAGGTTAGTGACACTGAAATGGCGGGCGGCGTGAGTTGAACGCGTGTTGATATGGCGCCAGAAAAAGCTTCAGGAAAGGGGTTTGTTTTTCACCGCCTAAAATGGCGGGGTCTATTGTAGCGAAAGTGTGGTTTTGTATACTTTAAGACCGCGATTTGGTTCCATATTTGTTAAACAAAAGCAAGGCGACCCTGTAAGTCTGTAAATATCAATTTAGTCCACTGTTTGCCACCAAGCTATTCACATTCAGCCACACATCAACACATGATTAGTGTTTTCCGTTGTATTCTGGGAGACAGTTAAGCCAATCTCGGCAAACTGCTTTTTATAATAAAAATAGTTATGTAAATAAAGTATATTGGCGCTTGAAGAGAAATAGCCTAAATGTTTCAGAAGTGATAAAAGCAAAACCCCCCTTTGTTTTAACACAAAGTCATTAGCATGTAAATACTTAAAATATGTAAATTTAAAAAGAAAGAAGTGAGAAACGTAGTTAAGATTTACCCAATTTGACAGAGAATTTAGTTTGGTTTGGAGACAATCCCTTTAAAACACAATAGTATTTTTGTTTCACCATGGGTAATTTGTTTAAAGGCAAAGCAGCTGGACAAACAGGACAGGTAAGCCTCCACCCATGACAAACAGACCATGAATTGTTTTTATTTTCTTTCACTTACTCACCGTCTCTTTCTTTCACTCAATCTTCATCCTTTTTTACTTTTTCTTTCATGAATACATTTTGAAGCTGTTTTGTGCAATCGTGTCTTATCCCTACAGAGCTATAGGGAGACATAGGCTACTTGTCCAGTTTTTCAATGAAGCTTTGAGGCAGTGTCAAAACATTACTCTAAGCATTACAACCAGTCTAAAAGAGCAATATTGACACAATCAACACTGAGTTTGGGGCGAGGCTATCTGCCTTTCTTACCAATAGTTTGAGAAACCTGTTTGAAAACTGTTTTGCAGATCTGTTGTGATTACAGCTGAGGTGTGAATTACATTATGAGCATAGGCGGCGACTCATCATGATCGCAATAGGCTACATGAGAGGACTCTCTTATTATTTTCCCGCTTTAGCAAGTTACCTGAATAATGGAAATTCGTTGTATTTTTTAATAAACCCGCGAATAAAAAATGTGGTGGACTGAGTCACTGCTGAAGCGTTGGCCTCGAGTGTGGCGTGTGACGCAGTATTCAGTTGTGAGAAAAACGGCATCAGTCCTCTACTAAGCATGTACGCAGCTTGTGACAGCTGAAGTGGATCTTGTGAAATGTGCGATCGCATCGCCGATCACTCTTGAGAAACTTAAAGATGAAGTAGCCTAGGCTACGGAAGGACAAATATCCAAACTTTTTCAGACCACTGCAGCTTGCACTCACGCTGCCCGTTGGTTCGGCTACATCAAAAATACGTTGCTCACTTGTGAGGAGAATAAGAAACTTGCTCTGATTAGAGCCCTGCACCGGCTGCACGGGCCTCAGATAGCCCGGCCCTGGCCCGAGATGCTCAGGCCCTAGCCCGGCCCTTGTCCGACAGCTCATCAGAATTACGGCCCGAGCCAGTCTTTTTTTCACCCTTCTCCCAAAACAGCCTACAGTAAACTACTGTTCCAGCTATTAAAATAGTTCAGTTTTGTATGTAATGGTAGAGTGATTACATTTCGTTTCATTTTTTTATTAAGTTAATTTAGAAAAACGTTTGGAGCATTTTTTTGTTCGTTAAATATAAGTTTTTGTTTTTTTAAAGTAACGACCAAGCGGCCAGCCGCAGACAGTGAGCCTATGTTTGATCAATTTAGCCTTCTCAAATCATCATGGCTTGACTAAAATAAAATCTATAGATATAAAACAGTTCAAGCATATAACAATGTTTAAACGTTAAACCTAGATAAATGTGCGCTATATCCAATAGTTTGTGCGGAGAGTGGAAGCTGAAGCGCGCTTTGCAGGACATGGAGGCGCCAGCGCGATCGCTTGCAATTTTTCAGTGGATACGCCGTCATTTTTGCTCATAAAGGTAAGAGTAATACATCATTCGTAACTGTAAAGGGTCTACTTTTATTTGTGTGCACTCACAATATCAACAAAACGTTGTGCTTTTATAAAATAAAGAAAACAAACATGATGCGCTTTCTGCCGTCTCGTCTTCAACAGGAGCGCTTCACAAAAATGAAACTCAGCGAATACATGCCTCACAGATATGATACATATATCTATAGAAAGCTTTAAATTACTAAACGAAATAAAACGAATCAAAAACAAAAACTATTTCATTATTATCATAATCCCTAAAGATGCACTTTTCTCTAAAGGCGCGTCTAAAAAGGAGATGGTGAGACAGGATCGGCAACATCATCCTTGTGACACGACTCAGAAAACACTAGTTTATTAGTAAATAATTCAAATATCTGCGTTTTGCTGCAAACTTAAGCCTATTGCGCGCAGAACTGTTCAGCTGCGCTGACGGCACGCACCATACATGCTGCTGCTGGACACTAAACACCGTCGAGCCGCTCTTGACAGTCGCGGTAGCACGGTCTCCTGTTGTTTCCACCAGCACGGCAATTTTTTTATCGCTAATTGATGGATGTCTAAAATATAAAAATAAGGAGAAGCCTAAAACAGGCCCGGCCCGAGTCTGAACTATGACTTGAAAATTGTCCCGAAGCCCGCCCCGATGGGCGTAAAAAAGTCGGGGCCCATCGGGCCCGGGCTGAAATGCAGGGCTCTAGCTCTGATCCAGCATAATAACATCACACACTCAGAACATCCCAGAAAACCCCCAGTATTCCAGCATCACACAATCACAACGACATATAATCACAATGCAAAATTGCTCATTCACATCATTATAACATCACACAATCATAGCATCTTACAATTGACATTCCAGCAAGAAAAAAAACACAACATTCCAAAAAGATGAAAGAAAGATAGTGGTCATCTACGCAGTTCGGTAAAGAGGTGTTTTTGTTTTTTTGTTGTTGTTTTTTAGGAATTGTAATGATAAGAAACTGTCAGGGTTTAGAAAATGTTCAACCAACACTCCAAATGTACTACAGGCCCCTTCTCTATTCTTTCTAAACAGCCATAGCAATGAAGAGAATCTGCGGCTATAACCCTCATGGTAAAACAACAGATTGGAAATGAGCAAATTAAAAAAGCTTATTACAAGAGAGAACGGGATGTAGAAGCAACATAGGCTATGTGTTTTAATGTTTGTTAAATTATTGATGTTGACTGTCCAGTGGAATACGGAAACATAAACTAAATTGAGTTCCTTATCAGAAGTGAAAGAGGTAGTCAGCGATCCCTATCGTGCTCGCTGCTCCACAAAACAACAGAGGTCTTTATCTTCTCTCCTTCCTGTTCCTTCCAGATGTGTGCTGTCTGAAACTGAAAATAACCGTTTCACTACGACATACCTTAAACCCACACATAAATCTCTCTAATGCATATTTCGCTCTCTCCCACCTTCAATACCACGACTGAGGTGCCCTTGAGCAAGGCACCGAACCCCCAAATGCGCCGCAGCAAAAAATGGCTGCCCACTGCACCGGGTGTGTGTTCACGGTGTGTGTGTGTTCACTGCTGTGTGTGTGCACTTTGGCTGGGATAAATGCAGAGCACTAATTCCGAGTATGGGTCACCATACTTGGCCACATGTCACATCACTTCACCTTTTCACTTTTTTTTAGGTAGGTGTGGCTGACTCTTAACTTTTATAAAGAATATCTCTTTAGATT